CAAATAGCTCTTTCTTAGCTGGTCATTTGAATCTTTTTTTTTTAAATTATTTGGGGGGTTTTTTTTAGAACAATTTTTTTCTCTTTTCTGGAGAGGGGGGAATAATTACATTTAAAATTTTTGTTTTAATGGAGGTACTGGGGATTGAACCCAGGACCTCGTGCATGCTAAGCACCCACTCTGCCACTGAGCTGTACCCTCCTCCCCTGTCATTTGACTCTTGATGCCTCCAAATCTTCCAGTCATAGGATTGTGGATTTTTAGTTTGAAAGAGTTTCTGTTTAGTACAACTCCTCAATTTCCTAGGTGGGAAACTGAGGCCCAGAGAGGTGGGGTGACTTGCTTGAGGTTCCCCAGCGAGTTAGTTGTGGCTTTAAAAAGAATATTTTATGATCAGTAGCACTGGCCATCCCCTCCGCCTGGAAGACAGAGCTTCCAGAAGTTGAGAACATTCAGGTCTCAACACAGATATTTCTTTTTCCCTGAGGGTAATAACTGTTTGGCCTGAATTCCTGACCCCCAGGCCATAGGCATCCCCTGGGGATCTTGTTGAAATCAAGTTTCAGGAAGGCCTTGGCAGGGCCTGTGAATCTGCATTTCTGATGAGCTCCCCAGTGATTAGATGCTGCTGGTCTGCAGACCACACTTATAGTAACAAGGCTCTTGTTCATCATTTCATTCTTTTCCTAGTAACTGTCACAATATGATATTATCATATTTATCTGTGCTTTGTCTATAGTGGTTTTCCTTCAACTTCATATGAACTGCCTGGCCCGCCTTGGGCCCTGATATACCCCCAGGCCCAGCACAGTGCAGACACACAGAAGGCTGTCAATACACATGATCCCCCTGTTGACAGAGGAAGTCGGGTTCTGGAGGGCAGGGACTTTGTTTGGTTTTCTCCTTCTTCCTCATGGCACAGCCGGGGGTAGGAGCACACAGCAGGGACTCAGTGACTCGGGTTAGAGGTTGGAGTGGCTCCTGGTGCTTGACCCCATATGTTCCCCAGCAGGTCAGGACTAGAGTGAAAAACAGCCTAGGCCCATGAAAGTCAGGTGATGTGTGTGTGTATATGTAAATCATTTTTAAAAGTAGAAAACTTATCACAACCTTGGTCTGAGTCCACCCTGTAGCTGCTTGGGTCTAAGCCCAAGCAGGGTTACTTGGAGTCTGGCAGCCTCAGGGCACAACTTGATCAGCTTACCTCTTGCACCACATACACGTGGTATTCTTGGCCTGGCCCTTGGGGACACTGACCCCAGGTCATCTGGGGCCAGTTCAGTTTGCCCAGCATGGGGGCATTCAGGTACTTGGAGTGGGAGGCCACAGGCAGCTCTGCCAGGTCATTCCAGTAAAGTGCCTCATCCAGCCTGTTTCCCCACCTGAGGGCAGGAGGGAAGACTGGGGACACTGAATGATGTTTAAGGGCTAGCCCAGCTTCTACTACTTCCATCCCCTCCCCACATGCAGTGGCCCAGCTAGACAAGATAACCTCCCACCCTGGAACGTGGCATCTTGAGAGCAGGGACACCTGAGTCCACTGGGCCCTTCTGAGCCAAGGGCCACCTCACCCGACCCACCACACCCCCTGAGAAGACCCCACATCCTTTCTTACCTGCCTTCCTTCTCTCCCCACTCCTAGTACTTGTCTCAGTCCAGCTTGTCCCCTTAGATCCCTGATAACTGGCTGGCAGCTGCAGATTCAGAACATTTTATCCAGGGCCCTTCATCTGCCAGGTGGATCTGGAGGAGTCTCTTTCATAGCCTGCAGGCTGGATGCCCCTGGCCATACCGACCCTCCTTTCCCTCCTTCCCAGGGCTCCCCGTCTGCTCTGCAGTCACTCACGGGCTTATTTATTCCCCCAGTTACCGATTCGCTCACTCACTCACTCACATGGCACTTGCTCAGTCCCTCAGGGCAAGGCCAGGAGTGTGACTGGGAACAGATTGGCCCGAGGTGGGGTTATAATGCACACATAGAGGCAGAATGACACAGCGGGGCCCTGGGGCCATGTGCTCAGGTGGAGTCCCCCAGAGTCTGAGCTGGAGAGGATCAGCCCCCTCGTTGAAGAAAAGGGGAAAGGGAGGTCCAGGGTGACCCCAGGCCACTGGGTAGAAGAGGAAGGAGGCCGTTTCTTAAGGGGCTCTCCTGACCTCCCACCACACTGAGTCAGCTCGCCCAGCCCTGCCTGCAGGCCGAACATCATGTTTTCCAGTTCTGAGGCAGTGACCTTGGTGCCGGTTTGAAAATGCGAGAACTAAATCAGGGTAACACCCTTAGGGACCCTGAAGTAGGCTCAGAAGGGCTGGAAGGGCTTTCCCTCAGAGGTCTCCAAACCCTCCACTTTACAGCTGTGGACCCTGGAGCTTGGGAAGTCTGGTCACAAGTGGGCCTAGAAGGAGTTCCAGAACCCAAACCACGATGTCCAGCCTTGTAGTCTCTGGCTGTACCCGCTGCTCAGCCATCCTGGGTGTTTGAAAACAAAGGGGAAGCCTCATCTTCCTGAGGAGGAGACATCTTAAGAATATTTTCCCTAATAAAAATATAAAACAAACAAAACAAACAATATTTTAGGGCTGGGAATGAATTAATCGAGCAGTTATTGAAGTAATCTATGAAAATTAAATTCTTTCACTTAACCTATTAATTTAGGAAACTTGCTCTTTTCCACTCATAGTTTATGAAACACTTTAATGCAAATTCTTTACCCAGCTGTCTGGTGGAGGGACTGCTGGGTAATGCATCTTGCCAACAGCTGTGTTTGCAGTCACGTACTGGGAACGCACCATGTATGACGAAGGCTGTCAGGACAGGAGTATGGCATCTGCCTCCTTTCCCGAGGAGGAATTCTGGAAAAGAGCCTCCCCTTACAATCAGGACCATGAGGCAGTTTCGAGCACCTGCTGTGCTGTGGCCACATGTGGCTCCCTCATGGTGTCAAAGACCCTCCCCCACCAAGTCAGGTGACTATTTTTCAAGATGACTGGACATTACAACCAAAGACCCTAGAGTGTATCAAGAAGAAACTGATGGTCATCATTCAGCTGTATTTGCAGTGCTGGGCACCAGGACAGGTACACAAGGAATTGAAATTTTTGTAGCAAGTCCTAGGATGGAGGAATTAATGAGGAATTGGAGCATGACCTAGGAAAGGGGAAGTGGCCAGGAGGCAGTGCATGTTTACTGCGGTCTTGCAATATACCAGATACTTCACAAACGTCATCTCTAATCCTCCTAACTACTGATGGGTAGCAGTTACCTCTCATCCCAACTCCTACTTGCCTAAGAACTAATAGAGTGTGTTTTAAGGCTAATTACTTGATCATCCTAAGCCTCAATTTCCTCCTCTGAGAATGAGGACTACTGACCCCATAGGATTGTTCAAAGGACTGAGTTCTGTTCCAAATACTTTGCATATATCACCTTAGCTTAGAATAGCGAGCCCTCAGTCGATGTTTGCTCCTATCATTATTACAACATAGGAGGAAGCTAAGGCTCAGAGAGGAGCAGTGACAAGCCCAGGGCCACACAGCCAGAGGGAGAATGAGCTGGCTGTGTTCTCTGTTCCACTTCACAACCTGCAGTGCAGAAAGTGTTGAGACAGAAGCTTTGCCCTCATAGTAGGCCCATGGCTGGACTTGGCTGCCCTCTGTGCTTTAGAGGTGCAAGGCCAACTATCCAGTGCAGGATGACCCCAGGTCACCTGCAGCTACATGCCTGGCCAGCCCATGAAGGGGACTTGGAGAGAGGGATGACTGTCACTTTCCTCTGAGGACTGGAGAGCTGGGCTGAGCCTCCTCCTGTCACATCTGAGACCTTGGGCAAGTACCCCCACCACTTCCTCAGTCTCAGTTTCCTCATCTGAAAAGGGGGATACTAATGTTTTTCTGCCTCATATGGCTGTTGTGTGACTGAGCAAGGTCAAGTCTGGGAGACGGTTTTTTATACTACCCTGTTGTGCTAATATAGCAGAGTTAAGGCCCATGACTTTGCGGTGAGGTGAGTATTTTCATTTAATGGGGAAGGTCTACAGGGAGTTAGAATCTAGTTTAACACAAAGATGAACTTTCTCATAGCTCTGGCCATAGGAGTGGAAGGGAGTGGGCCAGTGGATGACTACCAGTCAGGAGGAGGCAGAGGGGGTTCCTGCCCTGAGTGGGGGTGAGGGTGGCCTAGGTGAGACAAAATCCTCTCCCACGTGCTCCTCCACCTCTCCTCCCCATGCGAGGGCAGAAGGCACTTAGCAAATCTTTCCAACCCAAAGAATGTTGCAGACAAGTGCCTCAACCAGAACTCAGGAGGTCGTGTGCACTTGACTCTGCCACTAACTTGTATAACTTTGAGTGTCTCACTGGCCTCATTTTCCTAGCTATCTCATAAATAAATATAGCAAATGCAATTTGTCAGCTGTGATAATTTGCAATACAAAGGATTATTACCTTCCAAGACTGTTGACCAAAGGACTAAGTCAATGGTAAAGAGGAAGCATTATAACTCATGGAATCACAGAGTTGAGAGGGACCTCAGCATTAATCTAGAATCTGCAAGGATAATATATCTGGGAACTATACTTTGTGATTTACAAAGTATTTTCTTTAGCTTTATCTTCTTCCACCCTCACAACTCCTCAAATTTACATATAAGGATATGGATCCCGTTAACTTGTATAACTTTTGCAACTCACACATCATTCTAGAGCCCTGACTGGAGGTGGAAAAGAGGTGGTTCCAGACTGGAATCCCAGTTCCAATGGCACTGGGAAAGTTACTTTTGACTGTCTTACCTCAGTTTCCTCAATGGTAAAACAGGAATATGAAAACATTCATCATAGCGTTGTGGTGAAAAGCTTACTAGAGAACTTGATAGGAAGTGGGTGCTTAGTAAATGTTAGCCAGCAAATAATTAGACACATAGCCAGGAAATGGCAGAACTGGGCTTCTGGCTCCCACATGAGTGCTCTTTGCCACACACTAAGCTGTCTCATTGCATCACACTCCTCCCTTGCTCATTTCACAGCCAGGGCACCCAGGTTGAAGAAGGGAGCTGCGCACTAGGACACAGGCAGCCAAGAGGCAGCTTGGTCTCAGATGATCTGAGAAAATTAATGATTACCCTGGGGTCAAGTGCATCACTTGCCAAAGGGAAAGGCTTCCTTCTAACTGGCCCAGTGAGCTCGTGAAGGAGGAGTTGAGGCAGTCATGGAGCGCTGAAGTCTGGCAGTTCTGTCCCTGGGCAGGTGAATCGCCTGATACCAATGCTGGGACCCAAGCCCTGGGATTGGCCTAAAAGAGGGCTGTGTACCCACTGGTTGGCCCTTGGCATCCTGTCAAACTGCTGTGCATCCAGACATAAAAATAACAGCCTGGAAATAGTTCTGGGGCAGTCTGCTGGACTCAGTGTGGGAGAGAAAGCCACCATGCAGATGCTGACCAAGTGCTACCCCAAGAACTGCCTGCTGACTGTCATGGACCGGTACTCGGCCGTGGTGCGCAACATGGAGCAGGTGGTGATGATCCCCAGTCTTCTGCGGGACGTGCAACTGAGTGCGCATGGCTGCCAGGTCCAGGCGGGGGCCCCCGATCTCTACAACTGCTTCACCATGCTCAAGGCCATCCGTGTGGACGTGGACAATGGGCTGCTGCCCCGGGATGAGTGGCAGGCCAAGGTGGCAGCTGGCAAACCTGATGAGGCTGAGAATGAAGCTGCAGAGACAGAGGAGGCCGGGGAGGAGAGGGCCTCAGGGTAGCTGGACCTGGAATCTCAGTTCTACTTGCACTTCTCCAGCCTTCCTCACATCCTCACCCACCTGACCGTGAAAGCTGAGGAAGTGACGAGGAAACACCAGGAGATAATGGGACAGGCCATGTAGGCCTGGACTCTAGACAAGGTAATGGTGACCATGCCAGTGGGTTTCAGAGTCCACTGAAGCACCTTCCAGGGGAGGAAAGGGAGCAGGGGTGAACCTAGTGGGAGAGGGAGAGCCCGGCCCTCAGACAAAGCCGCCCTCATTTTGGGGTATAGACCACTACCTGAGGCAGCCCAAGGTCGGGCCTTCCTTACTTGCCTTCTGATTCAGAATTGGTGAATAATGGTGGCAAACTGTTATGGAAACAGAGGGAAAAGTGGCTTGTGAGTGTGTACCCTATATCCACATATATATGTTTGTGCTTGTGAGTGTTTATTAGTAAGTATGTGAATATTTGGAACCATATGAACTAGACATGTGTGTTCCCACCACTGACTTCTTTAAGAATCTGAGTCAAGCCAAGGACTCTCTCCCCAGAGTCCAGGCATTTAGACAGATAACTGTACCTGCAATTTCAGGGGATATGCCATCTACCAAGGCCCATCCATGAATTCTAAAATAAGAACCCCTGATGTCATATATGAGTAATACATGACATCTATTTGAACACATAGTAAATGCTAGCACAGCCCCTAAATGCTTGACATAGGAATAACTCATTTAATCTTCACAATAATTCTATTAAGATAGGTTTTATTATTTCTATTTTACAAATGAAGAAACTTACCCAAGGCACATACCTACTCAGGTGTCCAATGTGAATTCTATGTGTGTGTGGCACTGCTTCCAACATTTTTTCAAGTCATGGACTGTGGAAAATTATATTTATATGGTACATGGTGGTACATAGATAAGGCTGCTCACGGTAGTCCTGCAACGAGCAGGAGTACTCTGGCCATCCCAAACGCAGCCAGCCAAATGGAAATCTAAGGGACCACTATGTTGGCACTCTAATCCATTCCAGGCACATCAACACAGAGGCATGCCCGTTGGGAAACCCACCTGTGAAGACATACGCATATGTGTTGGAATCTGAGCACAGAATGGCTGGGGTTGTGAGGTGTAGATGAGCAGGAAGCTAGACTAGCAGGTAGTGGCACAGGGTAGGAGATGAGAAGGGGACCTGGGACAGTCATGGGTGTGTCAGTCCTGGGTAAAGATGGAGAGAAGGTTGGTCACGGCACATGTCAGTTTCGATTCTGCCAGCCCTGCTCCCGTGAACTGGCTTCGTCAGTGATAAACCATGCCACGTCCACAGGAATCTCAAAACCTACCCGATGTAGATATGTGGGGCAGAATTTTTATCCCCATTTTACTTGTAAGGAAATCAAATCCAGAGAGATGAAATGACTCACCCAAACTCACACAGTTAGTAAGGGGACAAAAAAAGCAAGACTGGCCCCAATTTTGAGCTAGGGGTACTTTCCATCAGACTCCCTGTCATGTTGTGTTAGCGTCATGATATTCCTGAGGCTGTTGTGATGGGAATACACATGGACCCTGAACACACGGCCTATAGAGAGTTCTGCTCTAGGTGTTTTCTCAGCCATTTTTCCTTCCCCTACTTCAAACCCAGACCCAAACTTCCAACTTCAGCTTTGCTTCCCTCTCCTGTTGAGGCTCCTGGGTGTCTTTCAGAGGTTCTTGAATGTAACTGGGCTGGGTCAAGAGCTCTGCCTTTAGTCCTGATTCCAGCACTATGAGCTGTGAGGACTTGTATTTGCTCACTTCTCTGGGTTTCAGTTTATTCCCCATAATAGTACTAGTAAAAACAAAAACAAAAACAAAACAAACAAAACAACAACAAAAACCAATCGGCACTTGAATAGTTCTATAGTTTAAGATCACTTGCATATGAATTGTCTAATTGAACTATATAATCTCCTTCTACAGATGAAAAAACTGGAGGTCTGAGAAGTAAGAGTCCAAGGTTACTCAGGAAATGGCAGAACCAAGATGAGAATCAACCCTGGCCTAACTCACATTTAATTCCTTTCCACTACACAATTGGATTTCCTTAGCACCTTAGAAGTCTGCAGCTGGAGGTGGGAACTGGGGATGGCAGAGTGGATAGAAACCCCATTCCTTGACCAGCTAAACTGCTTCAAAGACAAGAGCAGCCAATTCTACAGTGCAATGCTTCAACACACCCTAACCTGTTTTTTTGGTGGCATCTGTAGAGAAGTTAAAAAATATCTGGGCTCTTGTCCTGGCTCTGCATTGACCTCTGTCTGCCCCCTGGACAACTTATTTCACTTTTCTGTATGGTTTCCCTGTTAATAAAATGCAGAAATGAAACTAGCTGAGATATTGCAGCTCTGACAACTGGATTCCTACGGCAATAGAACACCGCTGGGGTTTTCCTACAGCAGCACCACTGAGCTTTTTCAGTGTTTTTCCTAATTTAACAGGCATGTGGCAGTATCTAGGTGGTGTGAATTTACACTGACTTTTTTTTTTTTTAAATTTCTGCACTCGACAGCTTACTCTGCATGATAGAAAGCAGACTCTGTGATGAGGACATGAAACAGTTTGCTAGCCCTGATTACAGGACCAGAAAGACTTGGACCTGCAGCTTGAAGTGAAGGCGGCTGCGATGCCTGGGATGCTTCTCCTCTTTCCTCTGAGAACCAATTCGTGGACTCATCACTGAGTCACCTTTAGGATGCTTGTTGCTATTCACAACTTCCTCACTCCTCTAACCAGCTGAGGGTGGTAGCCAGTAGTTCAATAGGGACCAGATGTCACCTGGTCATTGTGGTACAGGAGAAAGAGAAGTTTTAGCATCTGACTAACCAAAGTTCACATCCCTCCTCTTGGCAGTCATTCACTGTGATCTTGGGCAAGTTATTCAACCCAGTGGAGCCTAAATTTCCTCATCTATAAAATGGTCATAGTATTACCTACCTCATAAAGTTATGAAAATTTAACAAGAGAATGACTCAAAAGCATCTGGCATACGAGAGCTATTATTACAGGTGGATTTCCTCCCCCCACCCTCACCACATATTTGTTCTAGCCCTCCCTTACTGTTCTCTAGAACTAGCAGAGTCCCTGGACTCCGAGTGAATGGTTCACACCGTTATACTTGCCAAGCACAGGTGAACTATAAACCTATATTGCAGTAGCAGTTAAAAAATACTTTGTATTTATACATATTTTAATCAACTTCTA